GGACGAGAGACGAAACGTTTCTACATTTTTTGTTGTTTTGCTTTGTTTTGGGTTTTTTTGAATGTCCAGAGGACCAGATTGAACTTTTTTAGATATTAAGCATCCTGTTTCATCTCATGACACACTTTTGGATAAGACAATAAAACCCTGAGATCCCATCCCAACACCAGACCTACCTTAGATAATCTCGTCGACAGAGTTTTCTTCCCAGCTTGTAGTAGAGGCGACGGCCCACCTCGCCCAGCCGACAGCCACAGAGGTCGCAGCTCAGGCAGTCCTCGTGCCAGTACTGCTCGATGGCCTTCAGGAAGAACCTGTCGCCGATGCTCTGCTGACACCCACCGCATGTCAGCAGGGACGGGGGCATTTGGAGAACCTCGTCCACTGGCTCCCTGCACAAAAAAGGCAAACCAGTTCAAAAGACATTTTTTTAATAATGCTCTTGCATGTTTGACTGGTTTCACTCTTTCACATCTGTCAGGCATCTGTTTTATTCTCTCTGGAAAACGTTGCCAATAGTGCCCCAGATATTATAATTGTATTAGGGGGTTATGGGATGAAGAAAGAAGTCTGGCGTCATCCAGGTCACATTGATCGATCCTAAATGTTGTTTTAAGAAAGGTGATTTAATTTTTTTTATGACATTTAACTTCTCATCCAACTAGAGTGCTTGAAACCAAAAGTTAAAACCTGCCACCTCTTGCGTGTTGTATTGGACTTTGACTGTCCAGAACCCTGTTTTAAATGTAATCCCCAGCCAGTTTCATCCTAATTCACACCTTGATGCATGCACCAGGCCAACAGAAAGCTTTATGACCCTCAAGATGGAGGGGACGGGGTGATATTGATATGCATGTAAAAATTATAATGACAATCAAAATAATAACATAGAAAATGCCCTTTAAATTTGAAAGAGTACCTTACGTTTCTATACAAAATATTAAAATAAAAGAATAAAAGGAGGAGTTTCAAGTTTCATTTTTCAAATACACAACACATCAGGGAAGGCAGGGAAGAGAGAGTGTGATTTGCATGGGAGTTCAGCTCACATAAACAGTTACTCATTGCAGCTTTTAAGCTTGGGACTCCTCGTTTTTCAATTTGAACAGAGAAAGCTTCTTGAATGAGAGTTGAGAGATCAGATTTATCCAGTTTTAGCTTCTCTCCATTGGCTCCTTGTCAAATGCAGAAAATAAATCAAAATCTTACTTCTAAAATAGCTACAACGCTCTCATCGACCAAGCTCCATCTTGTATTAAAGATCATATTATTCCATATTTTCCTAACAGAGCACTTCACTCTCAGACTGCAGGTTTACTTGTGGTTCCTAGAGTTTCCAAGAGCAGAATGGGAGGAAGATCTTTGAGTTATCAGGCTCCTCTCTTGTGGAACCAACTTCCAGTTTCTGTCCGTGAGGCTGACACATTGTCCAGTTTACAGACTGGGCCCAAGTCTTTCCTTTTTGATAAACCTTAGATAAGGTTGACTGTGGTTTCCAGCAGTGGTGTAGTCTACATTTTTGTAGTGGTTATACCGCGGTAAAGTTAGTATTACGTTGGACACCGTTGAAGCCGCGGAACGCGAATGTCCAACGTAAAGCTAACTTTACCGTGGTCGGTCTGTATACTGGGCTTAGAAACCAAACTGGTTAGCACAATGTAATCATCAATTTACTTAGATTTTTAAGCATATTGAACATTTCCAAATTTCTCTGATGCTTATATTTGAATACATGAACAGCAAACTTTGTACAACAGTTTTGTATTAAAACATGTTTTAGAATTTATAAAACAGTATCAAAGCCAAACATGTTCAAGTATTAAGTAGTAAGTACAGAAGTATTAATTATACAATAATTTGCTGGATATGCAAATGTAATAAACAAGTGCTGCATACAGGTAGATTGTTACAGAAGCATTTAGCTGCTGTTTAACATATCAATGACACGTGTCTAATGATATGTCATGTATCAATGGGCACTTTTAAGTGGTTATACTGGAATTCTTACGCTTTTCTAGTGGGTATACACTGTATACTCGTGTATCGTGTAGACTACGACACTGGTTTCCAGGGCTATCCTATAGTTGTGCTGCTATAGATTTAGACTGCATTTTGCAGCTGCATTCTCTCCATGTTTGTATTTGTAATTATTTCTGTCGTTAACATGTTTTTCGTTGTGTTTCTTCTAGGGGTGCACCGACTGCAGTTTTCTGGCCGATCATCTATTTCTAAAAAGTCTGACCTGCCGATACCGATTTAATTTTATAAGCGACACTGTCAGGAGTTATAACGTCACAAAGCGCCTTCAATTTTCCAATATTATTTTATTGAAAAGCAGACCCTTGAATAAAATATCCTAGAAACAATACAAACTTGTTTTAACTGGTCATGAGGTAGTGCTCTGAAATATAAATTAAGTTTAGAAAATTGTTAAAACTACAAAAAAATGTGTAAAATCTGTTTCTCGTGTAAGTATCAGCCGATCGCAGATCACCCAAAATTAAGGAAATCAGGGCCGATAAATTGGTGCACCCCTTTCTTCCCATGGAAAGTACACCTGGACCTTCCATGCTGTGTGCATCTGTCTCTGTCCTGTCCTCTAACCTAGTCAACGCAGAAATGGCCGCTCGTCCAGAACCTGGTTCTGCTGGAGGTCTCTTCCTGTTAGAAGGGAGTTTTTCCCTTTCCGCTGTCGCCGATGTGCTGCTCAAGATGGGAGTTTGCAACAAAGTGAAGATTCAGCGCAATCTACTGAATCCCTTAGATCACATGTGTCAAACTCAAGGCCCGGGGGCCAAATGTGGCCCTCGTTGACATCTTATCTGGCCCCCAAGATGATAGGTTGAACATGAAATACTTCTATCTCGTGTATTTTTTCAGTAATCTTTGATTATGTCAAAAGTGCAACAGAGAACGTCAAATGAGACCAATCAAACTCTTTTTGAGGAACCTGCAACCAAGAGAAAAACCTGTTGGGTATCTAACTCGAGTGAAACTGACCCTTAGTTTGAAAAAGGTTTTAATTTGGGCCCTTTTGTAAGTGAGTTTGACACCCCTGCATAGAAAACTTCATTTTTATAAATGTTTCTGTACAGTGCCCTGAGGTCACTTTGTAAATAATAATTAATTAACCCATACTTACTCATTGGCTTCCAGTGTTTTTCTCTCTATAGTAGATGCCATTCTTGGCTGTGCAGACAGGTGCGACGCACCTGCTCCTGCGCACCTTCAAGATCCTGGAGAAAACGCGCTTTAAGGTGATCTCTGGTGTCCAGTTTTTAAAAACTGTCCTCGGAGGCAGAGACGTCTCCTCTACGCTGCTCTGCGCTGAAGGACACGGGCTGGCATCGTTTCCTGAGGCGGTCACACGATCCCGTGCCTTTCGGGTCCAAAGCGGGTCAGTAAACCCTGCTCAGAGCGCATCGGTCAGCAGGGAGGATCTCCGTGTCCGAGCCCCGGAGCGGACGCAGCGCGCGGCGGACTCGCTCGTGCACGTGAAGCCGCCGGGGAGCAGCAGCGGCATGATGTCCGAACAGCGCGGGCCCTCCTCTCCTCTCTGCTTCTGTTCCTTCTTCCTGTTCACGACCGCTTCACAATGACGGGAAATGGGTCTTAAAGCGACAGCGGGTCGTGACGGAGGGGGGGCTGATGGGACACAAGATACAGACATCACGATTAGTTGTTTTCATTTCTAACAGCACAGCTGTCTCCTTCTTACACATGTGCAGTGGAAACAACATGTTTAGGCAAATGACCTTAAAACCATAGTTCATATTTGAGGACGTGTCGTCCTTTGGAAAGGTTTGAAGCAATAAATATCTTACCTGTTGTGGATAATGCTTCGAGGCTCCATGAAATGGCTGCGCATAACTTTTTTTTTTTTTTTTTGCTGCCCCTTTATAAATTACAGATGGAGCTGGCCATGTTTCAAATTAACCCAGTTTAATAAATCTCTTTGTGGTTAACTATTTTTTAGTTTGTTTTGCTAAATACAAAGTTCCTGTGTGTCATTAAGCTTCCCTTGGTAATACATTTGTTTGTTTGTTGTTTAATCCCACGACGGGAACTTGTGCACTTAACCACACGTCATCACTGCATCTCATGAGGCACAAAGTCGGTTCACGGTTTCACATGTCGACCGTCACAGCACAAAGGCATATCAGGGATCTTTGATCCGTTCAAAGATCCCATCAAGGCCTGGGACACTTTCAATATAATTCAATTCAGTTCAGTCTATTTATATAGCACTAACAGTATTAGCTCAGGACACTGTACAAATACATTCATATACATAAAAATTCAGTTAGTAACATTATTTAGCTAAGGTGGGTTAGCATATATATATGTGAATGAACAAGGGCATGAGACGTAGGGGTGTAGATGGTGATGCAGCACCCCTTGATGTAGAGGTCATGCAGGGTTAAAGAACTGATGAAAACATGAACAAAATTGTAATTTTTGTGTATAAACCTGTGTGGAAGTGTTACGGCTGCTTAAACCCCACAAAAAAATGTGCATTACCAGAACAGGATTGCATTTTTTTGCATGTATTTCCAAAATATACAGCTTAATTTTAATGTCAGATAAGACAATGTGCACAGTGTGTTACACCCTATTTGCTATTGTGATATTCTTCAAATTAATGTTTAGAGTCACTCAAGTTCACATACAAACGGCTATGAACAGGAGAGTTTTAGTATGTCTGCTAGAATACACATATGATGTAAATCTGACAACAGTGTTAAGGTTTATAAAAATTGCATTCACATGAACCGCTATATTATTTTGAGATTGTAGTTAAGTTGGTTCTCAGTAATCAAAGACATGGCAGATGCCAACAGTGAATGTCTGTTGGGATTTGGGGCTTGCTCAGACTTTTAACATTTTAATCCAGTAAAAATTACATAAACTGAGGTTGTTAATGGAGCTGTCTACAACAGGTAACATATTAATTGTTCACAACCTTTAAACAAAACCACTTTAAAAGATCATAAATATTCTTCCATAATTCACAAAACACGAAATGGTTTATCAAGTTGTTTTATAAGATAACTTTTTGTAAATAGCAGCTATATTGGATACAACAAAACACATTCTAATCAAAATGTCTCAAATTAAAGTATGTTGTATTAGTATTTACTTCTGCAACATGTGACAGCATGCTTGTTTTTTAACCAGATCTGTTTTTGTCATCCCAAATCTGGTAAAAAAAATTTTTACTTAATTGATATTTATAGAACTTACTTGAACTGCTGTTAAGCTAGTTAAACATGTAGGAAATCAAATTTATTCATTTTTCATTCCTTTTCCCCACCCATTTGTCAACAGAGCTTAAAAAAAAGTTCATGAACTTTTGAGGATTATGCTCTAAAATAAATACCTGTCACCCCTCAAAATATCATCTGAGAAATACACACTATTTCTTTCTTGCTGGTTTCTTGGAGGCTTTTATACAAGCAGAGCTCCTGTGGGTCTCTCTTATCTGCTGCCAGCGCTTCAGGGCTGCCTGCAGAGGGAGGGACGCAGGCAGCAGTTGGACTGTGAAGACAGATAAAACACCTCAGCGCCAGCAGCCAGAAGCAGCGCGGGCTAACTCTAGATGTAGGCTGAAAGCTTCCCTGGGCTGTTCAGCTGCTGGACTGCACACAGGCTCACTGGACAGACACCAAGCTGAACAGGCCCAGGAGCAAGGTGAACATGACTGCTGTGTGCCAGCTACACAGAAAGCTGAGCAGCTTTAGAGGGATCAAAACTCACACTGCAAATCCCTCAAATGAAAAAACAATTTGTGGTTTTTAATCTGTTGTCTTTGTACAGCACGACAGCACAGTGGAGGGTCTGTGTTGCATTAAACTATAACAAACATTAATCCGTCAATGTTCCTCTCTGCAGATGATTGATAAAAACAATCTTGGCATTCTGCACAGCTGACCAGGAGCTCCCCATCAACTGATGGCGCTAGAAGCAGACAAATCACATTTTATTATGTTCATTTAGTAGGTTGCAAAATTTGAATACTTTTGCCTAAAAATAAAATTTACATTAGTCATAATATTGAGAAAGCTCTGCAGTTTCAGTCACACAGTTCAGGACAAATAATACAAATCATCATTCATCATCATTTCCTCAAAAAATTCAGCTTGGCATAATTGGTTTAGGGCAGCACAGTAGTGCAACTGGTAGAGCTGCTGCCTCTCAGCGAGCAGGTCCCTGGTTCAAATCCCGGTCCAGGGGCCTTTCTGGGTGGAGTTTGCATGTTCTCTCCGTGCATGCGTGGGTTTTCTCCGGGTACTCCGGTTTCCTCCCACTGGCATAAAAACATGAATGTTAGTCTGATTGGTAACTCTAAATTGTCTCTAAGTGTGAGTGAGAGAGTGAATGGTTGTTTGTCTCAATTGTCTCTTTGTGTCCCTGTGATGGACTGGAGACCTGTCCAGGGTGTACCCCGCCCCTCGCACAGTGATTGCTGGATATGGGCACCGGCGACCCCCGTGACCCAAAATGGAAGAAGCGGGTAAAAGATAATGGATGGATGGAGTTAAACCTGCGACTTTCCGATCACAGGCCCATCTTCTCTAGCCTCTGCACCACCACTCTCCCAATATCAAACCAGGTTTTGGTGCTTCTGGCGGCATGGGCAGGGGCCAGGTCCTGCTGGACAATGAAATCTGCCTCTCCATACAGATCCTCAGCAGAAGGAATCATGAAGTCCTCTAAAACATTCTGGTAGACTGTTGTGGTGACCTTGGATTTAAGAAAGCAGAGTTCACCAACACCTGCACCGGACATTGCACCCCAAATCATGACCGACTGTGGATATTTCACACTGGACTTCAAGCAGTTTGGGCTCTGTTCCTCACCCTTCTTCCTCCAAACCCTTGGACCTTGATTTCTGAATGAAAGGCACACTTTACTTTCATCTGAAAAGAGGACAGAGGAACCCAACAGTTGTAGTCCATCTCCCGGATGTGTCTGAATGTGGTGGTTTTTGAAGCTGTGACTCCCGCCTCATTCCACTCTTTCTGGATCTCTGCCAGATTCTGGAATCTTCTCTGTTTGATAATCTGCTGAAGCCCACAATCATCTGTTTTGCTGGTGCATCTTCTCCTGCCATATTTTGCCCTTCCACTAGACTTTCCATTGATATGCTTGGACGCAGCACTCTGTGAACAGCCAGCCTCCTTAGCTATGAACTTTTGTGGCTTACCCATCCTATGGAGGGTATCAATGATGGTCTTCTGGCCAGTTGTTATGTCTGCAATCTTCTCCATATTGAACAGAACTGAGACAATTGAATCAAACTGAAGCAGTTTAATGATGCCCGGGGAAACCTGTACAGTTGTTTTGAGTTTAGTAGATGATTAGTGTCACACTCAGTTTAAAACATTCATGTCCTGCAACATTTGGACTGATTTCTTCACAGTATTCTAATTTTATGAAATCCTGTTTTCGTGGGATTCATGAGCTGGAAGCTCAAATTATGTAAAAATAAACAAATAAATACTTGAAATTGTTGAAATTGTGGGCCCTGAATCCATCATCTATTAAAGATTAACTTTTTGAATGGAATTATGGAAGTTAAACAACTTTTCCATGATATTCTAATTTTTTGGTAAGGGTCTGTAAATAAAACAGTGGATCAGATTGCAGTTACTTTATATGAGCATAATGCACGTGTTCCACTGCTTCCTGTTTAGCTGACTTTCAAATAGCCAAGAGGATGTGCAACTGACATACAGAGATTATGCTTTCCTGGGGGGTTGGGGTGGCTGGGGGGTGTCATACTTCCCATCCCCACCATGCAAGATGGCCCTGCTGTCATGGCCTCTCAGATTAACAGCCTGGGTCCAGATGCTCTTGTAGATAGGAGTAGCACGGCTCACTGAGCAACGTTAAAACTCCACCTTGCTGTCATTTATGGATAGAACTCTTTTTTGGTGTAAGTTTCCTAAATGTTAAAACGTGTGCACATCGTAGGACAATAAAGACCAAGTTCAAATGTTTTGATGTGGGGTGCCAAGAAAAGTTGACCAGTCAACATCTTACCTGTTGTTGCTCTTTGAACGAAACAGATTTGTTCAGATCAGATTAAGCAACGTCAACACCAAAGTGGACTGCTTGCTCTCTAAAAACAATCTCAAAAATGATATCAGAGTTCATGTGAACACTGGTTTATAAACCATTACACTGATGCAGTTTTGTGGGTATTTACATAGAACCCTACAAATGCAAGTACAAATAGCAGCACCTAGCTGTAGCACTTCTAGGACATATTTTCTGTTATAATAACAGTAATTTGACAGTAGCGAATTAAAAAAAAATGATATGATTTGCCATGAAATGTTGGAGATTCGAGTTGTTTTAAGATGGACTTAACTTTAGTCTTGGCCCCACTCTAGCTGTTAGCTCTTCAATTTGGTCAGAATCTGCTCAATTCTCCAAACTAAGGTCATTCAAAGAGCTATCAAAAGCAGGTAAGATGTTTATTTTTCATGACGTCTCCATAGAACCCCTCTTCAAAAGAGCTGAGCAATCTCTTGAAAATCTATTGGATGCATGTGTGTCACATTGTCCCCTGCTTTTGGTTTTTCCCCAAGTTGAACTAGGAAAGCAAACAGTTAAGCTTGGGGCAGCCTTCACGGAAGTGGTGTCACTCATATCCAGTTTCCTGTTTTGTTTCGGACTGAGAGCTTTATAGAGTCAAGAGCAGCATGGACTTTTGAGTCAGCGACAAACAGTACAACTACACAACAAATTTATTAGAAGCTTTTGAGAATAAGAAAAATCCCAGTCATGTTCATCAGAGGGTTTGAAAAAGATCAGCGCTCAGCCACAAGTCAAACTATTTTCTAAAATTATGGGTGCTGGACACTGTGTCGACTTTCTGAAAGTACGAACTCTGAAACAGCCAAACCAAAACCACCCACTTCCTGTTCATTCTGAAATCTTTTGTTTGCTGCGTGTTTCTCTGAGCTGAAAATTCTGCAGAAAGATTGAGCTGCTCCACAGTATAAACATTTAGGTGGGAGCTTTCTTTGTTAGAACCCCAAAAGTCTGGTTGAAAAGGTCGGAGGTCAGATGAGGGCCCACCCAACTGTTGGCTGAGTGAAATACAGCAGGCTGCAGAAATGAGCCACTCGATAACACAGAGCTTCTCTTGGCCATGGGATCCTCCCATAATCAGTATTATCCCTAGAAAGAAAACACTTAGAGTGGAACAGTGCAATCACATGGCTGTGCAGCCGTTTTAACAGCTTCCTGTGTTCAGTAAAACAAGGCTGGGCCGGTGCACATTCTCGGGTATGTTTGATTTCCTTCAGAGAAACTCATAGTTAAAATAAAAAGAAGAAGTGCTAAAGCTTTTTTATCATATTTAAAACAATTGCAAATAACACATATGCATTTTCAAATTTAGCTTTTGGAATGGGTTTAAAAAAATGTGTCACTACAAGTCTGAGTCAAGTGTGACTCAGAATTTGGCTTTTTCTTTAGATCTAATTGTTTCCCTGCACATTTTTGTTGATGCTTTACTGCCACCTACTGATTCAAAGAAAATAATTTTGCTGAAGCTGATAAATTTTTTAACCAGTGTTTTTATTAAATTAAATTAAATTAAAGTGCTATGTATTGTCATTGTTGTCCCACACAATGATGACATTTGTGCTGTGCATCTAGCCCATCACAAGTGGAGCAGAAGGCAGCTATGTAAGTGATCAGGGAGCAGTTAGGGAACAGGTGTCTTGCTAAAGGACACCATGACATGTGACAGGGAGTAGAACCTGCGACTCTCTGTTTCCAAGTCGGCCCTACCACTGCACCACAGCCACCCCAAATGCATACAAGATTTAAAAATGTGTGCGCTTCATATAAATTATATACATTCTTCTCACAGAAAGCAGTGCAACTGCTATTGTAAATATATATTTTGTGCATAATCAGTTAATCAGTGGTGCACTTTTCAAATTTAGGATTAGGTCACGCACTCTTACATTTTCTGTAACTCCTTACTGGACACTGAACTGGAGCAAACTGGAGGGGACACCTTGTGAAGATCGTCATTCCATCGCAAACCAATGCAGCACGCGACTAACAACCATGTGCTCACACACTCACTCCTAATGTTAGTTTAGAACTGTTTAAAGAAAACCAAACATGCATGAGGAGAACAACTCATGAGAGAAAAATCCCAGTTGACATTTGAATCTTAGATATTCTTGCTGTGAGGTATATGAACTACCCATCCTCACCAAGCAACATCTATAGTAAGATCAACAGAAGTAAGAGAATCAGCTAAGGTTTTGGCTGTGTGCGTCATATTGTATATATATATATATATATATATATATATATATATATATATATATATCATCTGTTCACACAGACTGGGCGTATTGTTTTTGTACTATTAGTGCTTAATGTATATTTAGTTGATGTTTTTCTTAGTTCATATCTTTGATCTTATTGCTGTTTTTCTTTTACATTTTATTGTTGAATGTATCTAGGACACTGTGTACATCATAATCTCATTCCACCACTTGTACCACATGTGGTGCGTATGACAATAAAGTTATAACTCCAGCTCTTACAACCATTCACTAAGTTAAACTGTATGTTTTTGACTATTTACTTATATTTTGCTGTGATTTACAGTGATAATAGTGGTAACAGGTCTCCCTTGTCAATGAGTCCTCACGTCTCAGTGAACCTGTATAAATAAAGTTGATTGAATGAATATCATTTTCCCCAGATTATTCAGTTTTTATATTATTTTTCTTATTATTATTATTATTATTATTATTATGTTATAATGCAAAAAAATCTGTGTTAAAATTCTTACACTGGTGTACTTACAGACAGTCCTGAGTACTTCAGTCCACGGAAGGAGACTGAAACTAATACTGCAGTTTTGTCTCATCATATTTAATAGCAGATGTATTGTACAGGTGTGCTCCAACGTGTCAGCGTTTACAGAACTACAGAACAGTTTAATACAGCAGCATCATCAAAGCTCATGATTGAGCAGATTTTCTGAAAACGAGCCTTAAACAGATATGCCTGACTATAAATGAAAATTCTAAAACGGTTTTCGTGCTACTGTTTTATTTTCAAATAAAATTATTAAAGCAATTTTTAGTTTTTATAATACTTTATCTTGTTGCAAAATAATTTTATTTTATCACCCTATTTCGTATAGCCTATTTATTTAGGCATATATTAAACAGCTAAAATAGGACTTGCGCCTTTATAAAGAACTTCTCCGTCTTTCCAACCGTCTCAGTTGTCGGTGAGGCCGGCGGGGCGGATCCCACACTAGAGTAAAGGAGAGAAAAAAGCAACACAACAACAAAAATAATAATTTGGCCTTTTCGTTAATTAAGCTAACAAGTTCCCTTTTGGATATATATCAGCAAGGTGGGTAAATGGGAAGCCAGGTTTTCGAGGAAACAAGACTCGGGTCTGCTGCTGGTGGTCAGCACGCTTTGGTGTTGCTATCAGACAAGCTAAGTCAATGCTAACGGCAGAGCGGCCAAGGCCATTTTACCAAAGCTCAGAGGAAACTGCAGTAGTTGTCCGAACTTTAGCTCGAACTACTCATGTGTTTTCAGAATATATTTATTTATAGATAAACATGTTTTAAATTGGTCTTTAAGTCATAAAGTAACCTTTACATCATATTAAAGTTAGCCGTATGCTACGGATATATTGTCTGCTTCATGCATGGCACTCTTCTCGTGTTACGAAACTAGACTTGTATCCATGTAAATATGGTCAGCATTGATAAATCCACTCGACTGTACTAGTTTCAAATAATGTGACAACAACCAGCATTCATATAAAGGTTATGTAATGTTTCGAGCAATGTTCTAACATACACGATATTTTTTAAATACTGTAGTTTGATATATCTGACACTTGGATGTTGCTAAACCGGTTACTAAACTTATATAGTCTTGACCTTTTATTAGGCATTTGTTCCCACTTTAAAGTGTTATTAGGTCGTTTTGTTGTTGTGTTGGGGTGTCCTGTGAAAAGGAAACTGATAGCAAACATTTCGGTTTGCACTTGTTTGAACTACACTGTTATAGACAGCATCTATTATCTCTAATAAATACACTTTGATTTTCCACATGATGTTGACAAACTGATTTATTTACATATTATAAACCGATTTATTTACATATTATAAACCACTAAACCTAAGTATTGTAAAAACACATCAGAAGATCGTCTTAACACCAGTAACGTACAAATCAAAAATTAAAACAAATAATTTTGCATTGATTCCAATATCCACTGGAAACATTCCTATATGTAAACGAATCATCTTTTGTTTGCACATGCCATGCTATTTGTCAAGTGTAAAGTCTTTTCTTTTGTAGTAAATTGGATCTATTGGTATAATCACTAAACCTTTGTGGTTCCCTCTAGATGCCCTCAGCAATGAATGCAAGTAGAACGGTGCAATCTGCCAGCCCAGACTTGGGATCCGCTCCAGGGTTAGCAGGCAATTTTGCACTCGGTGGACAGTCAGACGTCTTGAAGCAAGTGCTGTGTGTCCTCGACAAGAAAGCTCGCAACATGGAGAAAAAAAAGGTCAGGCTTTTTGAAATCTGCTAACGCTTTCACTTTGAATTAATTAAGGTGTTCTGGACAAGGCAGAGCCCAGAAAAGATTTTTGTCTACTTAAATTGTTTTAAATATACTGCTGTTGTTGAACTTTAATGTTTTACTACAGAGCAAACTGGATGATTATAAGCTCAGGAAGAATAAAGGGGAAAGTCTCAATCAGGACCAGTTGGTGGGTACACAAAAACTTTAATCTTTACAGATCATCTTATGAGTCTTATGATTCTACATTTTATCAGTATGTAAACTGACTGTTTTCTTTTCACTTTATTTTGTTTAGGAGGCCCTCTCCAAGTACCAAGAAGTCATGAACAACTTGGAATTTGCCCGAGAGTTGCAGAAGGCGTATATTACTTTGGGACAAGATGTAAGGACAGCGCTGTTCTTTGTAATTACTTTGAGTTATTGATTCTGGCTCTGTCTATATTGGCTTTATTTTAAATGGTATGTTCAGATCCAGAAGGCGGCAAAGAAGTCTGCGCGGCGGGAGCAGCTGCAGCGAGAGGAGGCAGAGCAGAAAAAGCTTAAGACTGTTCTGGAGCTGCAGTTTGTCCTGGATCGGCTGGGTGATGACACGGTACGGCAGGACCTGAAGCAGGGGGTTGGCAGCTCACCGCTGCTGACAGACACAGACCTCGCAGCTTTTGATGAGTTCTACAAGTTGGTGGGACCAGACCGTGATCAGAACATCAGGTTAGTTCACATTTTCATGTGTAAGCCAATGAGCGATGCAACATACTATATGCCTATTTATCTATAATAAAGAAACCCTGACAAATTTTAATGTGTGCAGGTTGACTGATCAGTATGAAGAAGCGTCTGTGCACCTTAGGGAGCTGCTGGAAGGGAAGGACAAGCCAGTGGTTGGAACAACATGTAAGTCTGTTGTAATATGTGCATATCAGCATAAGGTTGCTGTTCTGTCATTTATTTTGCTTTGCGTAATGATGGTGTTTTCTCCTGACCACTGTTCCTTTGGCCTTCTTTACTTACTGATTACATCAGAAGTAGCAAAATGTTTACATTTTTTCTCTCTTGCTCACATGTTCTTTCTGCCAGTCACCAAACAAACCTGTCCAGTCAGTCTTCACATGTACCAGGTCCATTTATCTGCTACTAAAACTTGGCTTCACATGGGCCATTGTGTCCAGTTTGAGACGGAACAAGATTATTAAATATTCTATGGGGGAGGCATTAATCAAACCAGAAGAATAAAAAGTAATGTATGATTTAAGTAACAATTAGAACTAAAATGTCTTACAATATTTAAAGTTAAAAATATGTAAATGCATTGCAAACTATACTTTCACATACAAAAAGTAGTGAGTGTAGAAAACACATTTGAAAACTCCATGCATGGAGTTTGGCCAGCTGTGGGTAATGGTAAATCAAATTTCAACCAATTTTTTTTTTTTAATCCAAATTAACAATTTGAGGACACCAGCATGAACATTTTGAAGCAGTTTACAGTAAATGACTTTTATTCATTGTTTGCTTCAGTCAAGAGTTTTATAAAATGAATTATCATTCAAGATGACTGTTTGAATGGCCAGCTGTGGTGTAAATGGTTGGCAGGACAGTTCATCAGATGGCCAGTGACGCAGTTGTCATCAATGCTTTTTGTTCTGTTGAGACTGAATGAAAGAAATCTGTCAGATATTTCAGAATGAGCCCCAAAACAAATCTGTCGCAGAAGTGTTGGCTTTTTTAACCAGTCTCGTGTTAATGTAGCGCGTTCTTTGTGTTTCGTTTATGCAGCTTGTGTCTGTTGCCTAAATGTGAATAATCAGGGCTTGTGGATATCGGGGCTCTGCATTCTCAGCTGTCTGACCTCAAGCTTCACACTGCTGCATTCTGCTCAGGAACTGAGCTGCGGGCTTATCCTGACTCAGCAGCAGGGCATACAGCCAGTGGCCCTGTGTGGTTGCCCTGGTCAGTTCTCTAAAGCAACATTTGAATACTGGTGACCTGCTTCAGTGTTGTGACACCAGTTCAGTCCCTTTGACTCACTAATGAGATGTTTGAAACATCAAGGTGATATTTATGAAGGTGACTTTTTTTGCTTGAACCAGTGCAAAAACAAAATCACTGGCCTGCTTTGCCATCGTGTGACAGTATCGCCCTCAGGAATTTTTACAAAATGGATATTTGTTCGGTTGCAGGTTTACAATCAAAAGCCTCTTGATACTTAACCCTTGATGGTGGGGTTGAATATTGAAAATCTGACAAATATTGTTAATGCAGTGAATCTTAAGCCCTACCTTCTCAATAACAGGCGGCTGGCGACAATTTCACCGCCTAGTCAAGTGTCTGGTACTGCCTACGCTGACGATTCCGTGGCGCGTGATAGACGCATAACCAATTTCAGTCGCTCTGTCAAGAAAGATACAGCCTCTCAGAGACTCCATTTTAATTTGTGTCAAAAGTACAAACTTCAAGCTACACACCAGTTTTTAAATCATGTTGATAAGCCTAATAAAACCAGTTATAAATAATCCATGCCACACCTTTTTATGAAAATCATTGTCATATCTGAAGCACGTTAGAGCGAGAGACTGCGGCAAAGACAGACAGTCACAGGGACAAAAATCCCCCATCACCCTCCGCTTTCACCTCCCACCCCCGTCAAGCAGATAACCATTCCCCTCTTTTCTGACGGAGACCCGAAGTTATTTATCAAGTGCCAAAACATCTGCAGGAAGAAGAAGAAAAAGGCGTGGAAGTTGAATGGAGTTCAGCGTGATAAAGTCACAGCGAGAGCGGGAGTGAGTCATGAGGTCTGAGAGATTTGTGATATTTAGCATGTTTGGGTTTTATAGCTGGGTGTAGTTTAGTGTGTTTAGTCAGTTTTAGTGTGAGTCTGAACAATGAGACAATTTTTGAATGTGAGGAGGAACTGCATTGCACTGCAGACCCAGGGGAGGATGGAGCCGCCGAGTCAGAACCTCTCAGACAGAGGAGACGATCATGGAGAAAAACAGTCTGTCAGACAGTGAGGACTTTGTTGATGAAGAGGGAGATCGTGATTTGTTTTAGAAGAGGAAGAGAGCACCTAGCCCCACTAGGAGGTCTGACTGAGCAGAGGAGGGGGTCCAGAACCCCTCTGTCTGAGCCAACAGAACCAGGAGACCTGAGATCTGGAGAATACAGGGAGGATGTGGATGTTGACCCAGAGGGCGACTAATGGAGGAAAGTACACTTTTTCTTAAATTACTGTAAAATAAATATTTAATTAAAAATAAAAACTAGGGGTGTGCAATTATGGCATAAAATTCATATCACGATATGTTTTGTGAAGGGTGGTGATAACGAAATATATCACAATATGTTTTTGGTATAAAACTTTCAATAGGAACGGAAAAAAGCATAGGGTGTCCTTTTGCCATCATTTATTTTGAAAACTGCTATACCACAAAATAATCTCAATTAAGAAAATTCCACCACTAGGTCCAGAGAGTTTTTAAATAAACAAATCAAGTATTAATTAGGCTTCTTTCTTGTAGTACAAAACGGTGCAAAAGATATATCAAATGTGTTTTAGCCATATGTTTTAAACAAAAGAATATGTTGTTAACTCTTAAAAGTTTCCAGTATTCTCACTTAAGAAATGAACAGCAACAGAGCAGCATTTTACCCTAAAAACACTTAACCCTCTAGTGGGTGTCTCCTTCTGCTTTAATGGAGAGCTGACACAAAATGGCAACCAGTTTCCTCTGTGTCTTTGACCAGAGGGTCTCGCAGTAAAATCACACAACACAGCGTTTTTATCAGAGAGCAGGTTTCTCTAAAGCTGACCAAAGATACTTTAACTTTGGACGGAAAAAAAACCCAACTTTTGACGGAACACAGCATTTTGCGCATGCGTCTGAATACGGCAACACTACGGCAAGCCGACCATACTTAGCTTGTAGCTTCGCTACTTAGCTCTCGAAGAAAAGACTATAACACCACTTACGCACAGTTTTCAACTAAAAAAAAGTTACAATTAAATCTGACAACTCTGATTTTACATCAGACACAGCATTACTGTGGTTAGCCGGTAGAAGCCACATCTCTATCGTAGGCTAAATATCTAATATCGTTTCTACCGTGTACCGTTTATATCAAACATTCCTAATAAAAATTGTAGTGTAGTTTATAAACAAAACAAAAAAACCCAACTTGTTAAAAAAAACTAGATATTTTTATTTCAGGCTGAAACAGCTCTAAAAGACTAATTAATTTTTTGTGGAACAAATATTTAAAACTAATATTTTGAAGCAGTTAAATAAGATGGTTCATTTTCCCCCCGAGGAACATGAATAGTCGTAAAGTTAAGGGTTAAAACCGTCTTATTCGAATGTTCACACAGTGTGATGCTTTTAATGTCGATCAGATTTCACGATTGTGTCTGAAGTTGGAGAAAACAGTGAAGTTTTTGAGCTGCATGCATTCAACTGGGACTGCTGCAAAATAAAGAATGAAGATAAATTCATTAAGAAAAAAATTTATTAGAATCTTTAGAATGTATGTTATCTCCTCTACAAAACTGATTGATACCTGCTGATTATGACTTCATAACTCCATGCTTGTGATGCTGGTGTGACATTTTCATCAGTTTAAACAGTCTGTGTTCACCAATATTTTCAATGCACAGAACCTCTGTGTGTTGATGAATCTTTGATTTATTTTTATTTATTTTTACCTTTTTATTTAACCAGGCAAATCCCACTGAGATCACACATCTCTTTTGCAAGGGGGGCCTGAAGGCAACCTAACATGCATGTTTTTGGTCTGTGGGAGGAAACCAGAGTACCCGGAGAAAACCCACGCAAGCACGAGAAGAACATGCAAACTCCACACAGAAAGACCCCAGGTCCAACTGGGGATTGAACCCAGGACCTTCTTTCTGTGAGGCAACAGTGCTAACCACTGAGGCGCCGTGTTGCCAATGAGATGAGAATCAAAAATGACTCCTGCCTCCTACTCTGAGCCGTTAGCCTCCGAAAAGTTGTTGAGTTATGGTCCATGAGAATGGCCGGTCTTGTCTCACTGGCGAGTGTGTGAAAAAAATTGCTTAGTTTGCTTCTCTCACCAACTGTTGACACCCCGTCTTGTGCATCGCCCCCAGTTAGAACTGGTTTCTTACAAGTTACGTGATGAGCATTGTGTAATTGGTCAGAACTATGTGGGCATATTTTTATTTTTTTGTAAAGTGGCTGCAGTCAGCTGTTCTCTGAGAGCAGCGTCTGCTGAGGATCTACTTGCCGAGGCTGTGAGAAAATACAGGCAGTATAAAAACTTGTGAAATTTATAAAGATGGTAAAAAAAATCATGGAAGAAGATGGGTCACTTTTGTGCATGCAGGAGACAGCACAGAGGCCGTGTGGACTGAGATAGTGTGCCTCTGCCGGACAGAGTAGGGGCACGTTCCCACTCCATCTGTGGAAAAGGTGGTGGTCTCTGTGACAAATGTACAAAGTGGTGCTTCTCAATAACATAAATATCAGATATTTTCCAACTCCTCCATCAACTGAAAATAATCATTCACGCTGATAACCACTCTGTCTGTGCTGATTGTAACTGCACGTAGCTTGTGCTGCAGTGGGAGGACTTATCAGACTTTCTCCCCACAGTTGTTTTTAAAGTTTAAATAGTCTATGAAAATAAGACGGTCTACAATCATGTCAGCGAGATTTGTTGTCTTACAACTTGTTGAAATAAAGTGAGCCCTTTAGACTGATTCAGGTTATTCTTTAATGTTTAGTGTCAGAAATCAGTAAATTGTTTTGTATTGGGTTCAAACATTTGAAACAAAATGCATCATCAGTTGTGATGTTTCGTGATTATTTTCTTCTTTTTATGAGGGCGTTGTCAGTTACATTTTACGTAATTGTTTGTCACCATTAGTGATCTGGGAGAGAGGAGAGGGGCTCCGGTCAGAAAAGCATCTGTGTTTTCCACTGAAGCTTTAACTTCTGCGTTTTATCATAGCTGGCACACTTGAGCAGCTAAGCAAATTCACTCCAAGCTTAATAATTAAAACTGAACTCTTATCTCATACACATGAAGCAAGTGCCTTGTGTTTTTTTTCATATGCACATTATGAATTGTATTCATGGCTTGTAAGATGATGCTGTTTTCCACACTTGATCTGCATTGATTCAAAGCTCATGGAAAAGTGGGTTCTCATCGTGACCTTGTCGTATCGCTGCTGGATTTGTGCCTTCGTGGTTTAACTTTTCAGTAGAGTGCTGACCCTGTTAATCCTCTGCTAGACAAGGCACTGAAAGAGACTTTGGACCAGGTTCTGCTGAGTGGGTACTTTGACCGGATTCCCTCTCACCAAAATGGAGTGTGTGAGGAAGAAGAGGAGGAAGAGTCAGTCGCAGGAGCAGTTATGGCAGCAGTAGCTGAGTCGTCGGAGGCAGAGGAGCAGGCAGTCGATCAAGGTTCTGACACTTTTGTGAAGCATGCTGCACGAGTCTTGTTTAAAACGCTAATCTAATCATTAATGAAACCGGCACAACATCCTCTTGATGAGTTTGTTTTTATTTTTTATTTTACAGAAACTGAAGTAATTGAAGAATTTACCGAGACCATTACATTTGAAACAACAGAAGTAAGTTTTGCAGATATCTCAGGAGTTTTCTTTTTTTATTGTAGGTTTTATGACTGATATTTGATATATTTCATTTCAGTTTGTAAACAGACAGTTCATTCCAGACAGCTCTTACAGTGGCAGTGAAAAAGAGCAGGGGGATGAGTGGACCAGAGAAACTGAGGTTTGTTGAAGAAATTCTCATGTTCTTGTTGACAGAACATGGCTTGAGTGTGTTTTTTATATATATATATATATATATATATAAAATAAATAAATAAACCATTCACATTATGTCTTAAAGAAGTATAACCAGGTTGTTGACAGTAGTGTTTTTTTGTTTAGTTTATTTCTGCAGTTTTTATTCATACTTTTGAGGTTCTTTCTGTATCTTAACAGGTTATTTTAGACTAGCTCCATGCTCATAAGAGAACTGGTAAATTGCTACTGCTCAAATAAAACTTGCATTTATTTTCTTTGCTGTAATGTAACGAATAATGAGATATTTGTGTTTGGTGTGTCTGTGCATTACAGGAGCTTTTGTTAACTTAGAAGGTTGAGGCATGCAAAACTGTTTTTTGTTTCATAGCAAAGGTGCCAGTTTAATTGCAAAAGCCACATTTTTGAACTACTTGCTACATTTAGGTGTGTTTACTTGTTATATAAAATATACTTAATCCAGCAACCTGTTTATTACTGTTGTGACTGAGTCATGGGAGTTTCTTTATTTTCTACAATGCCTAAAGCACAAAGTAGTGAATCTCAATAAGTTGTAAACCGTTTTTAAAGGTGATGTACTATATAAACAGACTTTTTAATGCGGGCTTGCAATAGATTAACTACCATATTGTAATACATGTGACTTGCTCTCAGAAATGCAGATTTTTTTTTTTACCACTTGCACTTTTTTGCTTCACTTGGAGTCATGAACAACATTTTACTGCAGCTCTGTTACTCTTGGTGTCAGTAAGATACAGTTAGTAACCACTGTTTGTTTGTCTTCTACTTTCAGGCTGTAAGTGCCTTGCAGCAACAGCAACCTGTACAGTCTGCAACTCCCCCCGTTCCTTTGGAGACTCACCCTGTAAACCTAACGTCGCCTGTTCCACCTTCTGACCCTCTGGTCCGAAAACAAGTAGTGCAAGACCTAATGGCGCAGATGAAGGGACCATACAACTTCATGCAGGTGAGCTGTGATTTTTAGAGAACCCTGTTAGCTATAGCTGTGTCGTGGTCCTAATCACTTCTGTTCTTAGGACTCCATGTTGGAGTTTGATGGAACGCCCATTGATCCAGCCATTGTATCAGCGCAGCCAATGAAACCTGCTCAGACCATGGACGTACCACAGATGGTTTGTCCACCAGGTATGTTTGATGAGAAGATATGCTCTTCTAATAAAGTTTAGAGTAGGGGTGCACAGACACATGTATTTGTCCCAAACCATCATCGTATGGACAACTGGCACAGTTACAGAAAACCAGGAAGAATGTTGGTCCCAGCTGATCACCACTCTCCTCTAGAAGCCCATACACATTTTATTTAACTGAATTTTGCTTGCTGCCATGACTTAAAAGAAGCAGAGTAAGATACAACCTAAAGCACTTTAAATCAAACCGAAGCATGAATGGCTGGTTCAGAATAAAACACAAAAACTTCAGAACTTCCTTGTTTATTTCAAATCACCTTTGTGAATAAGGTTTTCTTGGTCACGCCCAGAGAGAGTGAATGGTTGTTTGTCTCTATGTGGCCCTGTGATGGACTTGCGACCCGTCCAGGGTGTACCCCACCTCTCGCACAGTGATTGCTGGACATGGGCACCGGCGACCCCCGTGACCCAAAATGGAAGAAGCGGGTAAAGATAATGGATGGATGGTCACGCCCAGCTGCAATCGGCTGCAATGAGATGTGCGTTTATAGCAAATCAAGCAGATCATGCACTGTGTGCTTTAAAAAAACTCTTTATAAGCTGTTTCTGTATTTATTCAATATTACCATAATTTCCGGACTATTGAGTGCACCCGAATATACAGTAAGCTGCGTCCGCTAAATGAAATAATTTGAACGTATATAGGCCACAACGTATATAGGCCACAACGTATATAGGCCACGCTTGTCTATAAGCCATGGGTGTCCACGTTGTAACATGAGATATTTAAACAGAGTTCTTTATTTTTCTCTGATTCTGGAAAAGTTATTGTGTTTTAGAAGATAATTGCAGTTGTAATCTGTTTCTTTTTACTGTTACACCTGACCTGAGTTGAACCATGACTTGGGAGTACCGTTACACCCCCAGTTTAAAATGCCAGTCTGACCACTGAAAGCAGACATGTTTGATTGAAGTGTTGTTGCTTTAGGTCACCCTGATCCCCGGCCGATCCAGCCCAACTCTGTTCCTTCTCAACCTGAGCCCACACAAGTAAGTATTTAGGTATAAACATGATGGTAAAATGACACAAACATTGTGCTTAGGCCTGTCACAATAACAAATTTTGCTGGGTGATTGTCTCCGAAATTATTTTGATAAACAATATTGTTTGAAATTTGACAATAATTAGTCATTATTGTCAAATTTAATAAGAAATGTTGGTCAATTTGTTTTCTGTAGTACCTTTTTTCAACCACTGGATGGCAGTATAAGACTGTTTGAACCGAAGGATGGACAGTGAGGGAGCGAGTAGTGTGTCTCTTTAAGAAAAATGCAGGGAGGCCCCTTGACATGACATGGGCTGTCTCTCTTTCTTTTTTTTTTCGGTTCTCAAAATGGAGGCCGCTCTGTGTGGTTTGAGCTCTTTAACATGACATTTGACACACAAAGCTTTTAATTTAAAAAATCAGTAAACAAGTTCTCAGCTTCTTTTTGCAGAGAAAAACAACTTTTTACACGAAGGCACGAGTTTCAACCGTGAATTTTGGAGTTTCGACAAGACAGAGGTTTTTTTCTCGAGGTCAGCCTGTTAGCTTAGCTTCTCAGCTTAGCTTCTTTTAACCATCCAAAAACATGATTTTGGATGGTTAAAATGAATTTTAAAGAGAAAGGGAGGGGTCAGTGAAGATTATCATCCAATGTCTTCAGTAGAAAGAGACACACAGAAATGATAAAGCTGTTGAATGAAAATGAGGTTGATGATTTTAATTTATCATGCGATAAATTGATTTTTTTTGTTTATCGCAACAGGCCTAATTATGCTTAAATTCTGTGTTTTCAGGTCCCCATCGTTTCCCCAACACCACCCCCAATGTATCAGACCTCACACACGCCAGATCCTCGACCCCCAACAGAATCCATTGATCCCATCCAGGTAAACCAACCTGTGCAATGATTAGGGTTTTTTCATGTTGAGTTGTTTGCTGATCATCATATTTATTCAAGACTGATGTTTTTTTATTCTGCAAAGACAGCTCATTCAGTGGTTTTGTGGTGACCGAAGATATGGTCAGTTTCTGTTTGTAAGTTAGGTCACACACAAAAAAAACTAAAAAGCTCAGCTTCAAAAAACCACTCAAATCTTTACCTGTATTGTTCCCCCAGTTTGGGCCGTTTCTGGTGAGTGTTCAGAGATGGAGCACAATGTTTTGTGAGGAGAGTAACCGTCTTATTAACCCAGTTGTTTATGAAACCTGAAGAAGATGAAGACTTTGAACTAAAAAAAAAACTTGGCTTTTTAAAAGAATTTCCTAAATATTTATGACTTTACTGTCAATGGAGACCGCACTTATAGGATTTCTTATCTCATGGGGTACAATTATTTTCTTTTAAGGCAATAGTGTTCCATGTTTAGCATCAATTTACTTACTACAGGCTCAAATCCAAGGCAGAAAACATGGTCAATTAACTAGCTAACATCAGGTTCTCCAGCTCCCAACGTTACTTCACAAAAGAGGGAAAGTTGTAGTTTTGCTCAGAGCTTTGAATTTAGTATTACCATAATTGCCAGTTTACAGAACACACCTGATTGTAAGCTGTGCGTACTAAATTTAAAATGAAACACAATGTTGTACATAAATAAGACGTGCTGTGTATAAGCTGCGGGTGTCCACAATTAAATATCAAACTACACAGCTCTTGGTAGAACGCGCAGCTCTTATTGTAGTACAATAATCAACCACCAGATGGCGTTTCACAGACTTTAGTTTGCTTTCACACAGACTGCTGATCCTCGCAGGTCTTCATGATGACACGCTCTCTGACTTATATACAACAATTTTCAGTCAGCTCATCTGGACAGGTTTTTGTGCTGAAACGTTTCACCTTCCATCCAGAAGGCTTCATCAGTCAAGGAAACATACAACACAAAACTGATTCTTCCCCCAACAGCTTACTCCAAAGTGGAACAAACCAGTGATGTTGGTGCTAATATGGTCTCTTTGGCACACCCCCTCCTCCGGTGCTGGCCCTCTCCCTCGTCGACAGTCATGTCAAACTGGTTGAAAACCAACAGTCCATGCTCAATAATCCAGGTATGCAATCCAACAATTTTCAGTTAGGTCCGTCCATCCATCCATCCATTATCTTTTACCCGCTTCTTCCATTTTGGGTCACGGGGGTCGCCGGTGCCCATGTCCAGCAATCACTGTGCGAGGGGCGGGGGACACTCTGGACGGGTCGCAAGTCCATCACAGGGCCACATAGAGACAAACAACCATTCACTCTCTCACTCACACCTAGGGACAATTTAGAGTTACCAATCAGTCTAACATGCATGTTTTTGGTCTGTGGGAGGAAACCAGAGTACCCGGAGAAAACCCACGCATGCACGGAGAGAACATGCAAACTCCACCCAGAAAGGCCCCTGGACCGGGGTTTGAACCAAGGACCTGCTCGCTGAGAGGCAGCAGCTCTACCAGTTGCTCCACCATGCTGCCAGTTCAGTCAGGTCATCTTGGAAAAAAAAAAAAGAAACTCCAGATGACCTGACTGAAAATTGTTGGATTGTATACCTGGATTGTTGAGCATGGACTTTGTTGGTTTCTGACTTATAGTTACTAGTTCTGACTCAGGGAACACCCCTTCTCATTCTCTCGCTGTGAGTGAAATTTGCCATACACAAAGATTTTTTTTTAAAACTTTTATTTAAATATGTACCAGTAACATACACAAAATAAGCTGCGTACAGTACGGTAAATGTTTTTTTTTTCCTGAAGAATGCCTTTAACACGCCTGGTAAAAACAAATAAATTCAGACCCGCGCCGCTTGAGTGAAAGTGGAATAGTTTCCTTGTAGTCTGGAGGTGACAGAGTTGTTCGTGCCCTAGTGGATGGATGCCCAATGTTGTTTCTGTCAATTTTTATTTTTTTTTTATTTTTATTTTTTTTAAATAAACATTTTGGCTTATCTAAGGAGCCACCAGAATTTTAAACAGGAAATCTGAGAAATGCACGTCTGTCTTTTTTTTTTTTTTTTTGGGGGGGGGGGGGGGGGGG